TGTGCCTGACTGAAGGTTTACAGAGTAAAGCGGCTTCCCATTCAATACTTCACAGCACCTGGCTGAGACACCGACGACGGTCCCCACAACGGGATAGCACGTCCCACTCACTCCGTGTTTGAAAACAAAAATCAAAACAATCCAAACGAATGCAGCCCTTCTGACTCACCTACTGTGGGAGTGCATTAAAAGAACGCCTGAGAGCCTGCTCACACCCCACCTGCCGTGGGCCTTTCTGGGGACAGCGCAACGCACGGTTATGACGATGTGGCTTCTGAGGGGGTCGATCATTCGACGCAGGCTGGGTTCCGATGCGGAGGGTCGCGGGATGCCGACAGACAGCTGTCAAGAAGCCGAGCAGTGGGGGGTGACCACGCGGGACTGTGTCCCCTCTTTCCTCCTGCTGAGGAAACCCACAGGCCAGCTCGTGCCTGCTGGAGCAAAGAGGGCCTCCACCCCTTCCCCAGGTTCATTGAGCCTGCCTGCCTTCCCCGAGGATGACGCGAGAGGCTCCCCTTTTTAAACGGCAGGGAGCAAAGAAAGGTCGACGTGTAGGTCAGCAAGGTGGGTGAGCATGAAGGTTAGCGTGGCTGCTAGTCAATGACTCTGGAAGATTCCACCCAGGATGCCTTCTGCCCAGATCTGACGGGCACAGAACAGTGCCTAAGAACTGCCTCGAGCCATGGCATACATTTCCCGGCACATCACAGGCCTTGAGCGGCATCAATTCTGAGCGCCATCCGTGTCCAAAAGGGAGCGTTCTGAGCGGGTCTGCCTCAGCAGATCTCAAGGACTAATTAAACCCTCATTACCGCTGCCTAATTATTCAAGCTCGGTGGGACTGCACCGAGGAAGTCCCTGCTGGCCCGCTAGACGAAAGGGGTTAAGTAACCAGTGTGGATTTTGAGAATCGGGACCCAGCACAGACCTTCAGAAACCGTCAGCGCTAACATGAATATTTAACCAGACACCACTGTGAAAATGAAAAGGGAATTCAATTAAAAGGTTTTCAAAAAATTAATTCTGACCTCTCTACATCTGTCCAAATAAATAAGCCTTCTTTTAAATGTTTTCACCTAATTGCTAATCCAATAAACTGGAAGGGCATTTGCTAGTTTCATGAAGTGTAACATTTTCTAGGGGTTAAAAATGCGATCATTGTAATGTTAATAAGACTTGGACTTAACGTTTCTACTCATATGACTGTTTTTTTAACACCACCAGCCCCCCACCCCCACATACACACAACAGCACTCTTAGGGAAAGAGGTCAAGACGTTAATTAAGTCATTTCCTACTGCTCTTTGTGAATTCTAAGACAGAAGCGTTAAAAGGGGCTAAGGGAGAAAAAGGGTAAAATGAATATACACTGGCCGGCTACAGTTATTTTAGAATTATCGCAACGTCTCCCCCAATGTTTTGGAGAGCGTAATTTATCCCACTTTGGGGGGGGGGGCAGGGTGGAGAGGCGCTTGAAGAACGCAAGGCTGCATGCTGTTTTATGAACTCTATAGGTAGATCTGGTCAAAAATAAACACCAATTGCTGGTATGCTATAGAATGCTAATGGGGTTGGGAATACCCCCGGGGACCTCCCTCTCGGGGATTCCCCCCCCCCCCAGGACAGAAAACCTAAGTGAGGGGCCGCTCCATCCAGTTTCTGATGGAAAAAGTGGATGAGAACGTGGAGGGACAAGAGGACACTGGAGCCCCAGAGGCCAGCAGTGGAGGCAGTCACCCTGGGCTGGCAAGCCTTCCACAGAAAGGAAAGCTGAAGCTGCTGGGCTTGTGGCTGAGGTCCCTTGTCAGAGCCCCAGACCAGAGCTGCAGAGGTGAGCGGGTCCCCTGCCCGGGGATGTCCTGGCCACCCCCCCCACCGTGCCCCAACCAGTGGTCAGACCCCACCCAGGCTGAGCTGCCGATGGCCAAGCGCTCTTTCCACAAAGTTGTCTCTGCTCTTTCTTGGTGAGGCTCCACGCTCCACGCTGGAAGAGCAGGCCAGTAAGGACAGGACCTGAGTCTGTGAGGACCGAGATGGAGCCAGGCCAGGCATTCCCACCGTGATGACCGCCTCGTCCCCCAGTTGTGCAGGTGAGGGTGCTTCTCGACTCCCAGACATGAGGACACAGACCCCGTGGACCCTGTCAAGGAAACCTCATCTGTCACACCGTGCACAGGAGGCGTGTGTGGGAAAGGGTCTGAGTGTGCAAACAGGCCTCCACGCACGCACAGGCTCCATCAGAGATGACCCTTGGGAAGTGTGAGAACATTCCATGTGGTCAACGTAGCACTCGGCAGCACGACAGGTTCTTCTCGTTCACGGGCTGTCGTTTCTGAGAAACTATACATTAAAAAAAGATGCCCGCCTATCTATTTTTATTCCGGTTGGCTTCCTTGATGACATCATTATTAATCATAAAGGCAGCACCGAGCTAAGTGACGTTTCAATGCCAATGAGAAGTAGTAGGGGGCATTTTCTACTAGAGTGAGCCCTGAGGCCCACTTAGAACTGTGCCCAGGTGCACTGGGAGTTCACACCAATGGTGCGAAGCAGGCAGACGGGCAGATGGACAAGAAACACATCTCATCCTGCACTGAGGCTCTCAAGTGATTTTCACTTGCAATTAAGACACAAGATCAGACGGCATTCAGAGTGGACCTTTCTTCCCGGACCTTAACAAGTAAGGACACCACCTGCTCTGGAGCCTGCGACCTACCTTTTCAGGTCGTTTAATGAGCGCAGAGCAAAGCCGCATGGTCACTGAGGCCACTCGCCAGTAGGCAGCCTCCCGTCCCCAGGGCTGGTCTGTCAGTCAGTCAAGGAGAGGCCCGGAGGGGCACACACAAGTCTCGTGGAGGGGACCGGGGTCACGGCCCTAAAAATCGCTTCAGGCTGAGCTGCTGAGCAGACGTATGGTTGCTACTGGAACCACAAGGTCATTGAGGGCCACCCAAATGGCCACGTCTCCACTGCCAATGGCCAAAACGGCAGGCACGACAGTTTGAGTGCAAGTGGAAAGTTCAAGATAGTACCGGAGGCCTGTTCACGGTGTCCCCCCTGTGCTCAGACTCCCTAACATCCCCGCCGGGAACAGGGGTGGGGCCAGGGTTGAAGGAGGAGGGTGTGGAAGGGACCTCTCTTTCCGGCACTTCAGTAATAAAGCGTACAGTCGAAGGGTTTCCAGAGAAGGGTCTCTCAGCCCTTACAGTTTCCTTGTCACCACCCCACCACCACCTTTAAAGCATTTTTTCCAGGGGGTTGGGGGAGGTGGCTTCCCCTTCACCCAAGTTCACGTGTGTCTACCCACTACTTAGTGAGATGCCCTTCCTTCCCCTCCCACCCCACCCCCGAGCAATGTGCTTATTGGTATGAAAACCTTCCCACAGTGGTCTCCGTCTGCCCCTGGCTCCGTGTCCTCCCGGCCCACCCTTT